CCCCCCCCCCCCCGCTCCCCCGAGAAAACCAACCAGGGCCACGTGCCTTCCGCCTCGCTGAGCCCCGCGGCAAGCAGGTCCCCGAATGGGAGACCCGAGCACCAGCATCTTCGGGACATGGGCCACCCCCCCCCTTTGTCTCCCCAGCGAACCAGGAGATACTGCAGAAGGTTGAGGTCGAATACGAAACGCTGCCTGGGTGGAAGGCGGACACCACAGGCGCCAGGAAGTGGGAGGACCTCCCCCCGCAGGCCCAGAACTACGTCCGGTTTGTGGAGAATCACGTCGGAGTGGCAGGTGGGTGCCTGTGCCCCCGCCACCATCCCGCCCTCCACGCCCCACCCCCCACCCCCAGGGCTGAGCGACCCTTTTCCCTTCCAGTGAAATGGGTTGGGGTCGGCAAATCGAGAGATTCGATGATCCAGCTCTTTTAGACGGAGAGCGCTGAGCCTGCGGAGTGCAGCGAAACACGGAAGTAGGAAAACTAGTTTCTCTACTTTTATATTTCTCTCCAAGCCTTCAGCTCAGCCACCGATTTCTACAGTGATCCAAACATCTGACGGCCAGTGTCGTGTACGTTTGTTGTTTTTTTTTTTAAATCCTGCTACTGAAAATGAGCCGAAGTACTCAAAACAGAGAACTTTTATGGCACATTAATTGTCACATGGTTGTATGGCCGGCTGGCGCCGTTTAGTAATAAACACATGCAGTAGCCACTGAATGGTGGTGATCGGCCCGTGTCTGGTTCTGACTGTCCTTTCGTTTTGACTTTGGCGGTGACAACAGTCTGGGTGATGCACATTTCCGGTATCACAAAGCCTAACTGTTTGCTTGCTTAGACGGCGAACTGGAACGGGCCCAGGTAGGCGAGACCACAGGCATTCAGTGCTTCCCAAAAGGGAACTGTTACAGGAGCGCCCCCTTGAGCTCTAAGCCCCCCTGCACGGGGCAGAGGCAGCCCCCCAGCAGCCCCTCTTCACGTCAGCTGCATGCACCTGCCCTCATCCCTCTGGAGGTCACTGGATTGAATAAGTCACTTCTTAACAGGCCACAGCTGCTCGAGCTTACTGTGGTCTCCACTGGAAGCTGAGGAGCCTCCTTGAACAACTCTTCATAGAGTCTGGGGTAAATTTAGAAAAGTAACCCCCTTTTGGTATCATTTGGGAGAGGGAAGGAATTAGATGGGGAGACTCAGAGTCGGTCAGGGTTAAATCCCGGCCTTGTAACCCTGACGCTGGCATCTGGGCTCACAGAAATGGGTCGAGTGCTCACGGGGCTTGCTTCCCAGGGACCACACGGGGCTCCAGTTCGACTGGCCTACACCAGGGAGACGCTAACCACGTGACAGCATCTTTAGGGAGCAGGCTCCATTCTGAAACTCCTGGGACTTCTCGCACGCTAGCATACTGCTCCAAACAGTGCCTGGATGAGTCTTGAGTGATTTGAAAGAAGCCAGGAAAACAGGCTACAACCAGCTTTCCTGGACCTTCCAGTCAGTGAGGAGTGCAGCTACTTGAAGGCAGGAGTGAGAAGCACCAGCAGAAACTGTTCTTTGAGTTTTCCAAGAATTATTTCCGTCCATGATGCGGCGAAGCAGGGGTCGGTTCTTCGGGAAAGAGGGGCCGCCCCCTCAACTACACTGGATCCCACACACAGTTCTCTGTATGAGACGGCCGTCTGTCTGCATCTTGCCACAACAGAGATGCACGCCTTTGATAGTCAACCGAGCTGCCATTTTTCAAAAGAAAGAGAAATCACTTCATTCTGCATAAAAAGCTACAAGCCTGGCTTTGGCTTTGTAAGGTTAACCTGCAATTTAAATTAGTTGCAAAAACTGTTTTCAAACTCTATTTTGTAGTGGCTGCTAAATCCTTCACTTGAAGACAAGTTGTTGATTTTCTTCTACCTCTAGACAAAATCTAGAGGAGGCAGCCTCAGGCAGCATCCTTGGGCGTCTGTAGCGTTTTACAGGCTGAGAAGACCAACTTCCAGGGACAATGATTCTTCCCTGGTACCAACTTCCTCACTCTCATGGCCCAGGGACAGGATGCTGTCTCCTCTGAGGGATGGGTTAGTGCACACAGCCCCCCTTTTCCAGCAACAGGTGTTGGAGGGTTTGAGTAGTTATGAGGTGCTCTCTCTGCTTTGCACCCTAACACCTCCAGCGTGGAGGAGCTCATAGTGGTCTCAGCTCAACACACGAGGAAAAGACAAATCAGTAGTTAATGCTGATTGCTGTGCTCTTCCAAACACTTTGAAAAGCTGCCAGTTCCCTGAACGTTCCTTTACCTGCCACCCAACCAGCCCGCTCCTAGGCGCTGACCACAGTAAATGAAGACCGATGTCCAGAAAAAGCCTTATAGACGACTATTCAGAGAAGCTGCCTTTGTCACAGCCCAAACTGGGCGGTGGCCCAGGCATCCCCGGACAGGTGAGCAAACTGCGGCCCATCCACACACGGAATACACTCAGCACCAAAAGGAACCACCACTGAGGGTCTCAACGTCGGCACGCTAAGGAGCCCAACACAAACGCAGTTTGTTCACCTGTGCAGATGCAGAATGAGTCTGCCCACGTGTGAGGTTCTGGGGCAGTAGCCCTACCCAGCAGGGACAGAAAGCAGAGTGGCGGTCTCTCGTGGTGCCACAGGCATATGCCTTTGTAGTCATGGATGCCACTGTGCCTCTCTCATCTGGGCATTCCACCGGGTAGAGACACATACAGCTTCGCTCTAAGTAAATTATGCTCCAACTAAAGTTGCTGAGAGTCGTACAACCGCACTAGCTTTGGAACAGCTGAGATGGTACTTACTCAAGACCTTGGGGCCCCCGAGCAGCCCTGACTAGACATCTGAAAGAGTGTGTCTCCTCTGTCCGTCTGTCCGGAGGGGAAAGTGTGCTGCCTCCTCACGGGAAAACAGAAACTGTGTTCTTTCCTCGATCTGATCAATGTTCATTTCCAGAATGTCCAACTTTCTGAGGTTATGCTGTTAGGCACATGCTTCCCGTGAGCTCCGACCCTGGCTTTTGTTTCGCAGGGTGTCCTCTGACTTGGGCGGGGCAGGTGTCCTTCCCCTTTTGTGACATTTGTCCCACCAGGGGGAGGGACCCCACTGGCTGTACTCAGCACCACTCCAAGAGCCTAGTGCAGAGCTCGGCGTTTGTTACAGGCTGAATCCCCTCCGCCTTCGATTCCCATGTTGTCCCAATTCTCAGGCCCTCATAATGTGACCGTATTTGGAGCTAAGGTCTTCAGGGAGGTAATTAGCCTCTTTCCTAGCACTGAGATACAACTGACATACAACGTAGGCTTTAATTGTACATAGAACCCATTGTGTAAGTTTAAGGTGTACAGTGTGATGATCTGATACACAAGGTCAGTTAACACATTTTTCACCCCATTTTGTCGCGAGAACATTCTGAGGACAATTAAGATCTACTCTCTCAGCAGCCTGCAAGTACGCAGTGTTGTTAAGTATGGTCAGCATGCTGCACAGATCCACCTTTGACCCGCATCTCCCCATTTCCCACACACCCCCATCGCGCGGCAACCACCATCGGCTGTGTCTGGGAGTCTGACGACTTGAAATTCCACGTGATTGGTGAGATCGTCCAGTATCTGCCCTCCTCTGTCCGATTTATTCCACTCAGCATAACGTCTTCCCGGTTCGTGCGCGCGTTATTGCAAATGCCCTTCCTTTCCGTGGCTGAACAGTGCGCTGGGTGCCCAGCACAGCCGCATCCTCCTGCACCCATGCGGGCAGGACGCGGCGGGCGGCTCCGCGTCTTGGCCCCGAGACGAGGGCTGCGGGGAACGTGGGGGTGGCACGGCCTGTCCCCCACTAGGATCAAGCTTCCTCCCTGGACTCCGGAGGGGGGCCGCCCCTCGCGCAGCAGCTCCACTTTCGGGGCCTTGACGCACGGGGGCCGTCTGGGGGGGGCCTTGCAAGACGAGCCGAGGGCGCTCCCAGCAGGTGGACCCCGAGGCCCCCCTCACCCCGCAAGCCGCGCCCGGACACAAAGCCCCTGGAGAACGTCCCAACACCCGCACGACCAAGCCAAGGCCCCCGCAGGTGCCCGCGGCGCGGCCCCGCACGGCCCCAGCAGCCCCCGACGCCGCCCTCCCGCCCTCCCGCCGGCCGGAAGTGACGTCGTGCCCCGGAAGCGTCCAGGACGGCCGGACGGCACAGCCCACTTCCGTGAGGACCAGGAGGTCCTCCCACTTAAAACTTAGGAAAACGCGAATCGTCCTCCAACTCCGGTGACTTAAACGAGGGAATATACCCAGTTTCAACAGTTGTGTGGGGACCACCCCCCTGCAAAAACCATACCCGCCACGCCCGATCAAGCACGCCGAGCCCCGCGCCCGGCGTGGCCCCAGCCCCTTTCGCCACGCCGCGTCCCGATTCAGGTCGCCCTAGGCCTATCCCGAGGCGCGCCTCACACAAGGCCCGCCCCCGGCGCACCGGTTCCGCCTCCAACCTAAGCTCGGCCTATCCCACGCCGGGACGCCTTCGAGCCCCGCCCCCGCCGTTGTCCTCGGCCTATCCCGCGCCGCGTCGCCTTCGAGCCCCGCCCCACGCCTTTGCCTTTGGCCCATCCCTTGCCGCGCTCGAACCCCGGCCCCGCCCCCTCCTTCGCCTTTTCCCGCGCAGCCGGGTCCTGCTCCAGCCCTCGCCCACAACCTATCCCGAGCCACACCGCCTTCGAGCCCCGCCCCCGCCCTCGCCTCCGACCTATCCGGAGCCGCGCTCGAGCCCTGCCCCCGTCCTCGCCCCCAGCCTATCCCGCGCCCCATCGCTTTCGAACCCCGCCCCCGCCCTAGCCCCAGGCCTATCCCGCGCCTCTCCGCGTTGGCGCGCGGCTGTGACGTCACGGGTCGCGGCGACGCGCGCGGCTGGGCTGCGCCGCTCCGGGCCCGCGGCCATGCCCAAGCGGGCCTGTCCGTTCGCAGACGCGGGCCCGCTGCAGCTGAAGGTCCGGGTTGGCCAGAGGGAGCTGAGCCGCGGCGTACGCGCCGAGCAGCACTCGCGAGAGATCTTCGGTGAGTGCGGGGTACCCCTCCCGCCCGCGGGAGCCTGTGTCAGCGGTGTCCGCAGGCCGCGCCCCCAGGAGCTGCGAGGCGGCGGGAGCCGGCCGTCCCGCCGGGCTCTGGGAGCCGTGAGGGCGGCGTGAGAGCGCCCAGGCGCCCCCTGCGCTGGCCACAGCCCGCGAGAGGCCTGCCTGCCCCCCTCCCTGCCGGCGCGCCGCGGGGCTCTGTCCCCCCGAGGACTCCGAGGTCGGCCAGGAGCTCACCCCGGTCCGAGGACAGCCGGGGCTCAGGCCCCGCGGGAGGTCGCGGAGTGTCAGGCTCCGGGCGGTGAGCGGGCGTGAGCGCGCATGCTGCCCCTCGGGCTGCGCGGAGACCCTGCCTGCCGGGAGCTCCCTGGTTTAGCGGGGGACCTGCAGGGGAAGGGAATCCCAACGGGCACGGGCGTCGGGGGCAGCAGAGTCTGAGCGCAGTCCTGCAGGCCGAGCAGGAGTCGGGTAGGCAGGCAGCGGAGGGGAAAGGAATTCCAGGCCGAGCAGAGGGGCAGAGCGTGCAGAGGCCGGGAAGCAGGCCAGGGCAGTTGGGTTCAGTGTGGCCGCGAGGCCCAGCGCACGTGAGATGTGAGGGCGGTGAGCTCCGGCGGGTCTTCCCGTCTGGCTTTCTCGTGCGGATGTTGAGGTGCGTTCTTGGGCATCCGTTGGGGTGGTTGATACCCTGAGGCAGCTACAAAGTGGAGCTGACCTCACCTAGTGGTTAGGGGCACAGTGTTTGCACCTGCAGAGCAGGCAGTGTTTGTGATTGCGTGCAGCTGCCATTGTATTAGGGACGTGGGGAAGAGACCCCCTGGCAGGCCCCGTTCTCCTCCTGCTGCGCCCCCACCCCACAGCAACTGTTCCGCCCTTTCCTTCCTTGCACACTTGGGTTGCAAGTGATAAAAGTGAGCACAGCCCTGGGGACTCTGGCAGAACTGCAAGTGCGCACCCTGTAAGGACATTCAAAAACACTGTGCTGGCAGAAAAAGAGTTTAAAACAAATGGGGACTAGGTCAGTCTGGCTCTTTACCCTCCTCCTCGACTGCCCTGGGCATTCCAGCCCCATCTGTCACCTGACCTCTTTACCTTGCTTGCATCCCAAGCCCTGGAAAACAAGCATTCACCGCAGCACAGGACACCCCTCCCCCATTCCATCCCGGGATAAGGCGAGGGCCTGGGGGGTGCTGGAGGAGGAGGAGTTGTCATCAGCCTCGTTTGAGTTACCCGGCAACTGTCGTTCCCGTCACCATCACACACAGCCAGCAGCTCCTAGGATCTCCGCCCTGGCTCTGTGGAGACGAGGCAGAAAACCACAAAGCATTTTGGGGGCTGGAGTTGGGCATTTGATCTTGTGAAAGTCCCCAGATGACTGACGCGTGGCCTGATGGAAAACCGGTGCTAAGCAACCCGTTCAGCTCTCGGCGTGGGGGTGCCCAGGGCCCACCGGGGTCTGGAAAGTTCTGGGATTCCTCTGTCAGGAGCCCGTTGCTGCCATGTCTTTTGCGAGCAGCTCTGCAGTAGGTGAGAGGGGTGCACACTGGCCAGGGTCGTACTGGCCACAGCCGGCTTGACGGACAAGGTGGCTGTGCAGGGATCTCATGCCACAGCGGTGTGAACCCTGGGACTGATTTGTCTTCCCAGAGAAAACCAAGCAACTCCTTTTTCGAGGGGCCCAGGCCTACATGGACCACTTGTGGGAGGAGAGCTGTGCCATCGTTGACCTGCCAGAGTCCCCGAAGCCTGGCCCCACAGAGGCCCTGCGGGCCGCACGTGGGCAGATGCTGATTGGACCAGACGGCCGACTGACCAGGAGCCAAGCCCAGACCTCTGAAGCTGGTGAGTGAAGCCAATAGCAGGCGCTTTCCCAGCTGTGCGCTAAGGGTGGACGTGACAAGTGTGTCGCCCTTCATTCCTGATACTGTCTGTCTGGGGGCTTCTCCTTCCCCAGACAGGCAGGAGCTGGCCCCAGGGTCTGAGGAGCTGGTGAGCACCAGGAGGCTCTACCCCCCCGCCGCCCGGCCGACATCCGAGTCTGAGGGTTGTGAAGCAGATTCTAGCTGCGGGAATCAGGAAAGGAGGAGAAACCCCCTTGGTGTCCTGCCTGCTTTCTACCTGCAGCAAGACATGGAGTCCCAGCTGGGTGGGAATCACTGGTCGGGCCCCTGTGTAGCTCAGACCACCGCCTTTGTTGTTGGTTAAAAGCCATAGTCACTACCCCCCACCCCCACTCCCCAGGGCCTGGTCTGGGGCCCAGGAACTCTTTGTTAACCAGGGATGCAGAGGCCACACTTTGAGACACAGGTGCTGGACACACGAGAGAGTTCTGATACAAGCCACTGAGGGAGGAAGTACCGGCATCTAGATAGCAGGAATGGAAGGAGCGCTCGACTCGGAGTCGTGGAGACTGCCCCCTAACGTGCTCCTGGGCGCCTGGGGTCTTCCTAGTGAACAGGGTCTGTGGGCTGTGCTTTCTTGAAGACTGTCAGGAGGACCCAGTGGTGGATGGCATGCCGGGATTCAGGTCATCCCTCTGTCTGCGGGTCGGGGAGGCGGTGGCCCCACAGCCTCCAGCACTTGAGGTCCCCTGTGGGGCTGACAGGTGGCGTTTCTTCCTCACAGACCTGTCCAGGGCAGTGACCAGAGCCTGTTCCTCGTGCGTGCGAGCGCTGGACGGGAAGGCGGTGTGCGGCCAGTGCGAGCGTGCCCTGTGCGGGCGGTGCGTGCACGTCTGCTGCGGCTGTGGGGCTGTGGCCTGCAGTCTGTGCGCGCTTGTGGAGTAAGTGCTCGACCAGGGGGTTGGGAGAGTGGCTCGCCCAGCATTGCCCCTGGGGAGGGGATGGTGCCGAGCACTGCTTCACCTAGTTGGAAGTTTTTCTGAAGACTGATCTTCCCTCAAGGAAATCCAGATCACGTAGGCTGCCAGTTCTGCCTTTGCCTGTGGCCATCTGTTGTAGCAACTTCACGAGCTGACCTTTCAAACTGGCGTTAGGACCGTCTCTCGGGGTTTTCCTGTTAGCCTGCTCGCCTTTGGAGGAAGTGGGTGGGAGCAGGTGTGTGTGTGTGTGTCTGTGCGTGTCTGTGTGTGTCTGCTTGCTGGCCGTCTTGAGCCAAAACGGAGTGTTGGCTTAGTCTGTTGCTTGAGTGTGTGTGTCTGCCTCTGCTGGCCGAATCCTGCACCTGCTTGGGAGGCGCCGGGTACCAGTCCCACCCCAGCAGCCACTGTTGGCTGCCAGGTGGGGGTGTAAGACAAGCCCCCCCCCCCCAGACTTGGAGCTGGCTGTGTAGACCTCAAACTAGTTTAGTCCCAACACTCTGAAACCAACCGTGGCAAGCAGAAGCCCAGCTCAGGTGGGCCAGCCAGCAGAGCCTGGGGAAGCCAGGGGGCAGCGTGCGCCGCACAAGGCAGGTGGGCACCGGGAGCTCCCCTGCGGTCCAGCGTGGGTTGTGTGTTGACCAGTTATGCACGTGGACTGCTCTTTCCTTTGCTTCTGCCGGCTTATTCTCCCCTTCCTGTTTTTGTGCAGACTGAAGAGGCCTGGGCCCCCAGTGTCCCAAGGCTGTTCACGTGGGGAGGGACCCAGCTCAGCAGGGCAGGTTAGGGGAGTAGGAGAGATGCCTGGAGCCCTCCTCCCACCTGCCCGTGTCTGGGAACCTTCCTCCCGTCCGGACAGCGTCCCCCGGGCCTTTACTTCCTGCTTTTTCCCCGGCTGCCTACACAGTTCCCCCTGTGGTGGGGGCACAGGGAGAGGCGAGCGTCCACTTCTCAGACACGACGGGGGGCTGGGGCGGGGCTCTCTGCTGCGTTTTACAAACAGATCATGCTCCAGGTCACAAGGCTGAAGTGGCATCCCCAGGTGTGGAGGCCAGCCTTGGCCTGCCTCCCCCTCCCCTTCGGGGGTGGCCCCTCAGGTCCTGGTGCTGGGAGCCACAGAGCTGGGTGCTCTGTCAAGAGTCCGCTTTCACTACAGCGCAGCCCAGCGGCCGTCACGTCCTGCCCACGCTGGCCGCCCTCCACAAGTCCTGCACTCTGGGCCACGGGCTCACCGTCTTCCCGGCCGGGGGGCAAGCAGCTGTGCCTTCTTGTTGGCGCGTCTTGGACTGCAGTGTCTGTCCGTGTGTGTTCTGTAGCGTGCTGCCAATGTCTTGTCTTTGCGGGATCTCTCCTGATGGATCCCCCCTGCGATTCACTCTGTGGCCCAGTAAATCCTGACTGGATACTGGGAGGTTTCAGTGCAGGGTGGGCTGCAGGTGGACCATCGGCCATGTCCCTCTGCTGGGGCTGCTGTGGCGGACACCACACCCGGGTGGCGTAGCCAGCAGCTGTCATGCTCCAAGATCAGGGCGTCGGCGGGGTTGGCTCCTTCCCAGGCAGGCCCAGGGGTTGTGGGCGCACCTCGGCCTTCTCCCAGTGGCCTCGCACGTGGGTAAGGGCCCACCCGTCTGCAGTGGGGCCTCATCTTAGCTGGTCCTGTCTGCAGCTCACGGCTCTATCCCCAGATAAGGCCAAGGGACCAGGGGTCAGCACCACAGCATACCAATCTAGGGGGGCACGACTGAGCCCCTAAAAACACTTTTCTCTTGCCTGTGATGTTGCAGCTGCGGTGACGTTCATGAGACGGTGCTCTGTGCCGGCTGCGCCATGTTCGAGGCCTGAGGGCTGGAGCGGACGACAGCCTTCCCGGACAGGCCGCACGGGTGCCAATGCTGTGGGGCGGGGGCAGGGGCGGGGGGGGCTAGTTTATATTTTGTACTGAGGGCAGAGTGAATAAACCCCTTTATATTTGGACCAGAGGCCTGGCTCAGCACTTCTGGGGGTGCAGCCTCCTGGGGCGTGTGTCACCCCTGGTGGCGTGTGGGCCCTCCATGCCCGGCGCCCCCACGCGGTAGCTTGTGCAGTCCCTCAGAGCTTCGGGTGAGGTGTGTTCCCGCTCGTCCCCATTTTGTGGATGGGAAACAGGCGTCCAAAGTCAGGTCCTTGAGCCCCTCTGGCCAGTGCTGTTGAAGAGAGGGTTTGGACCCAGGTCACCTGACTCCATAGTGCAAGACTGCGCCAGAGCAGCTCGGGACGTGGGGTGATGTCCCAGACTGTCCCTGAGATGGCTCCGCTACCTGCCCCCATCTGGTGTCCACTTGGTTTTTCAGGTGCCTACATGGCCTGGGCTCCAGGTGACCTGATGATCCCTGCTCTCCGGGAGTGATGGCCAGCTAGGCAGTGTCCTTGCTGCATTTGGGGCAGTGCATTGTGTGGCCTGAAGTGGGAGGGGTGTTGGCGGCCACAGCGCGGTGGCCAGGAGGACGGAAGAGGGCACACACGAGCAAGCTGTGGGTCTCCCGCACCTGGTGCGAGCGTCCCCTGCAGGCGGACTCAGCATCCTGTTCACAGGCAGGGAAGTGTCCAGGGGACGGTGAGGTGTGATTCTTAGAGGACAGCAGGGGGTGGGCTGGAGCCGGGCCCAGGCTGCGATTTGCTACCATGGGTGGAACATAGAAGCCACTCGAGTTGAGGTGGGGAGGGCCACATAGAGGCCAGGAGGCTGGCATGCAGTCAGGGCCACGAGCCCCGGAGACAGCTGTCCTGGTCTTGGGATTGCCTCCTCTCTGGCTTCCTGCAGAGGCCCTGGAGCCTCCCTCTAGGTGTCTGCTTGCAGGCTGTGACCCCAGTAATAAGCACAGCATCACACTGGCCGTTTGGGAAATTCAAATCAAAGCCACAAGGAGATAGCACCTCACACCGATGGCCATTACTAAGAAAAAGCAACATGTGGGCGAGGATGTGGAGAAAAGGGAAGCCTCGTGCACTGTTGGTGGGAGCGGTGCGAAAAACTGTGTGATTCCTCAAAAAATGAAAAAGAGAACTACCGTATGAGGCGGCCATCCCTCTGGATTGTGTGTTTACACAAACCTGAAAGGAGGAACATGAACAGACGTGTGCGCCCCGTTTTCACTGTGGCGTGAGTCGCCGTGGCCAGGAGAGGGGGGCAGCCTGTGTCCGTCGACAGGCGAGAGAGGGTAAACAGACTGGCCCGTCTGGGCTGGGGGGGCATCCAGCCTCGGGGAGCCGCCAGGACGTGCAGCTCCGTGACCTGAGCCGGCACACGAGGACCAGTCCGGTGTGATCCCACTCACGACGTCCCTCGAGGAGTCTGGTCATAGACGTGCCCGGGGTGGGGGGGTCAGTGTTTTGTGGGGAGTTTCAGTTTGGGAACATGGGTGGCGGAGGTGAGAGCTGCACAGCAGCAGTGGGGTGTGTGTGGTGCCGCTGAGCTGCACACTCGCTAAGGTTGGGGGCGTGGCTGGCTCAGGTCATCTCGGGGTCCTGGAGTGGAGCCTGTTCGTCGGGGAGCCCGCTTCTCCCTCGCCCTCCGCCCCTGCTCGTGCTCTGTCTCTCTCTCAAATAAAAGCTTTTAAAAAATAAAATCTTTTATTTATTTTTTAAAGATTTTATTTATTTAATGGACAGAGAGACACAGAGAGAGGGAACACAAGCAGGGGGAGTGGGGGAGGGAGAAGCGGGCTTCCTGCTGAGCAGGGAGCCCGATGCGGGGCTCCATCCCAGGACCCCGGGATCATGACCTGAGCCGAAGGCAGTCACCCAACCAACTGAGCCACCCAGGCGCCCCAAAAATAAAATCTTTTAAAAAATAAAAAATAAATTTAAGAAGGCATGTGGCTGGGGCGCCTGGGTGGTTCGGTCGGTTAAGCGTCTGCCTTCAGCTCAGGTCATGATCCCGGGGTCCTGGGATCAGCCTCACATCGGGCTCCCTGCTCGGCGGGGAGCCTGCTTCCCCCTCTGCCCTTCACTCTAGTGGTGTGCTCTCACTCACTCTCGCTCCCACACTCTCTCTCAAATAAATGAAGTCTTAAAAAAATATATAAAAATAAGGCATGTGGCATCATTCCACAGAGTCGCACACGCACCTATATTAAAAAAAAAATGCCAGTTGACTCTTGGAAAGCAGAAGTTATAGCACATTTAGGGGTTTTGATGTTTGTGGATGCAGAGCGTGGGAATGGAGTGTGCCCTGTCCTGGTCCTGCTTGTGAGGCCCCGACCGCACTTGAAGACGAGAATATGCGGTATGCCCTGTCCGTCCCAGAGCCGCTGGGCTGGGGCCCTACGTGCAGCTCGGCATCCTGGCTGGACCCTGCGGGGGAAGGGAGCGTCCGTGGGAAAACTGGTAAAACAAGCCAATCAGGGAGAGAAGATGATGTTTGAAAAAAGTCATTTAATCCAAAATCAGGCGAGGAAAGACCAAAGAAGGAACAAAGAACAAATGGGGTGCAGAACACGGCGAGAGGGTCCATAAGCTCAGTCCCGCCCACAGCTGCCTGTGCTACGAGCAGACCCAGCGCCTCCGTCAAGGCGGCAAAGGCCAGAGCTGGCCGGGTTGTCCCAGCAGACAGCCAAAGAGCGAGGCCCTCCTCTGTCATCTACAGAAGTTCACCTTAGGTATAAAGACACAAAAGCCAAAGGACAATAAGCTCCATCTCTGAGCAGCTGTCCCTGGGCTGGCAGCTTCTGGGGAGCAGGCCCAGCCCCTAACACCCCCAGCTCTGCAGGGTATGCCCGTGGCGGCACACCCCCCATCACCAGGCAGGCCCGCAGCCCCAAGTTACCTCGTTCCCACACACCTGCTGCAATTGGGGGGGGGGGCAGTCCAGGTGCTGAGCACGGGTTTCCACCCCGTCCCTCCGGAGGCTGCCCTGTGCTGGCCAGAGCAGGGGTGGGGGGTGGGGGCCAGGATGGCCCCCCAGGAGTTTTCCGTCCAAGGTGCCCATCGCCTTTGCACCCCCCCCCCCCCCACTGCTCCCACCCAGAAGTTCAAGGCGTTCACTCATTTCTTCAGCTCCCCGGACTTGAGATGGGGTTGTGCTGTGTCCATGCCCTCGACCTTGACCCCTCTCCTGGGACAGAAAGCATCCCCCATCACCTGTGGGAAGGGGTGGGCCCCGCCTGACAACGGGCTCCAGGCTCCTCCCCGATTTCTACCCGCACCTGCCACTGCAGCCACCATCTGCTCGAAGTTTGAGGACAACAGAAGGGTATCACTGTATTTTCTCTGGTGGACTTTTTTCTTACTGTGTCAAGGTATATACATAAAATTTAACGGTCTTAACCATTTTAAGTGTACAGCTCGATGGCATTAAATACGTTCACCACCACCCACCGTCGTCTCTGGAACTCTTCATCTCGTAAATCCAACTCTCCCCATTAAACTCACTCCCCAGCCCCTGGCACCGCCTTCTCTCCCGGTGCATCTCACTCCTCAGGGCCCTCGTGTAAGTGGAATCCTAATGTCTGTCCTTTGGTGACTGGTCTGTTCCACTCAGCATAATGTCCTCAGGGTCCATGCATGTGGCAGTGGGAGCCAGAAGGGCCTTTTCTGAAGGCTGGGTCATAGTCCTGTGAAGGGACAGGCCTGAGTTTGCTTATCCATTCACCCACTGTGGACACTCGGGTGCCTTCCACGGTTTGGCCACCGTGAATCATGCTGCAGTGACCGTGGGTGACGGGCTTTCTGCTTTCAGTCCTTGTGGGTACAGACCCAGAAGTGGACTTGCTGGGCTCTCTGGTCATTGGATGTCTGATTTCTCGAGGACCCGCCATACTGTTTGCGCTCAGTGGCTGCACTGTTTACCTTCACACCAACAGCGCACAGGGTTCTCCATCCGTGTGACAACTGGATGTCTCTTATCTCTTTTGTATGTAATGTTTGGTGTGTGTGTGTGTGGTTCCAAAAGGGCTGTGTCCTCTTGTCCTGGGGCCTACTGCAGATGTGTCCCCAACCTAGCACTCCTCACAGGTGCTCCCACAGGAGGGGACGGCCACCCCACCTGGAGTCACCCTGGGGTCTGGAGAGGCTGGGACCCCTACCCCCACCTCCAGGCGCATGCACCAGGACCTATAAATGTCCAGGCGCCCCGGCCACATCTGCACGGGAGAGATGAGGCCAAGGCTCCCAGGCTCCCTCAGCTGTTGCTTGCCGGGCAGGTGGCTCCTCTCTGCACTGAACAAGCGGCCACCGCGCATCCACCAGGTGGCGCCTGCCACACATCCCACCAGGCCGCTGGGTCCCCATCTGGGCCACTTGCGCACCTCTACCCAGCAGTCCCAGACTTGCTGCGTGACCTCCGCCAGGCCTCCTGGGCTGCGAGGGGGTGACCCGGCTGGGCGTGTGGACAGCCTGGCATCTCCCTGCTCCATGAGCGCCACTAGGGAGGGCCGTCCTCTCCGGGGCAGGCTGATCCTGCTCCCCCTACGAATGCTGGCCAGCCCACACGCTTTCATCCGCCACCCACCAAAACAAGCCACAAAGTTGAAAAGCAGTGTTTATTGAAGAATTTGGAGGGAAAGTCTCATAATAGTAAAAATAGTAAAGTTGAATGTAAAAAGCGCCCCGGTGCGGCACGGCGTCCTGCCGTGAGGCGCGGAGGATGCGCTGAAGGCCCCTCCAAAGGGCGCTGGGCGCATGGCGGGCCAGTGAAGCTGCTCCAAAGGATGAGTGCTACCTGGGGACACCATCGAAGTGAGACGCCCCCGAAGGGACCAAAGGGTGGGAGGGAGGGGCTTTCTTGTCACTATGATTAAAAAACCCCAAAATGCATGTGAATAGCGTAATACACAGCAACGGATTGCAACCTCGTTCTTCTGCCTCTCGGGCGAGCCCGGCCTGGCCTGCCCCAGGGAGGGGACCAGGCCAGCGTGCCACAACCAGGTTGCTGCTGGTGCCCCCAGGCTGGGCGGAGACAGCTGGCGAGAGGGATGGAGGGGCCAAGGCAGGGCACA